AAATCAAGGGTGACTGTCTTTTGGCTTTTGATTTTCTCCCTTTCCCTTTGCTCCGGTGTTTTCTCCTCCTGGGGACACTGTAGGATGTTGTCTTCTCCCCAAAGGAGACAGCTTTTCAATCCTTAACAATGTCAGTAATTGGACTTTGGGACCATGCTTTTTTCTTCAGCTAATCCAATCACCGGTAAAATCCTCATTCCCTCTAAGGTTTCCTAGCCTTAAATGAAAGCAATCTGAAGTGGCTAGCCTCTGAGAAAGATCCTTCAACACATTTTTTTCTTTCCCGCTTACGTTTCTATTTCTCACCCCCCGGCTCTTTTCTAATACAGTATCAAGAGAGACAAACTCTTCCGAGAGTAATTTACAAACGATGGTCAAACTTACAAACTTCCAGCAAATTGCACCGAGTCATGTCCAGCCACTTTTCTGTCCACTTTTGTACATTCCATCCCCGGCCAGTGGATCTGAGGGTCTGGACTCGCAATAAGCAATGTGATTCTATCGCTTGTATTGCTCCGCTTTATAGATAAAAAAAAAAAAAAAGTAGCTTGTATTTTCCTTTCTCTTTCTCCTCCGTTAGCCGCTTGCTGACACTGGCTCCCGCCCGGAGTCACGGCGATACACAGGCTTTCATTGTGCTCCGATTAGGAGAGGGAGAGAAAGAGAGAGAGTGAGACAGAGAGGGAGAAAGAGAGAGCCAGCAAGCTGCAGATGGGGGGGGGCGGGGGAGGGCGGGAGAGCTTGCTTGAGGCTCCCTGGTGGAAAGCTGCTGCCACTGCTCGTGTGAGCAATCGCAGCCAGGCACTGGGGAAAGGGGGACGCAGAGGGCCTCCCAGTGGCTGAAGAGGTAAATCCCAAAGTCTGCGCCTCTCAGCAGCCCTCCTTCAGCTCAGCCGCGGACTTGCCTATGCGGGGAAGAATGGGGAAATTCCCCAACGTCTGGGCAACTACTTCACCAGCTCTAAATGTTTAAGAAATTCCCAGTCAGGGAATGTATTTTCCCTCTCAGACCTACATTATGCCCCACCCCCAGGATATCGTTTTCATTTTGCAATATGCTGTAAATGACACCACTGAGCACTCTAGTGAGAGCTGGGTGAGCGCTAAGGAAATGTTCATCAATATAGTGAGGAAATTGGCCAATATGCGTTTGGGATGAGAGTGGAGAGAAGGGAAAATCGTTGTTATTTCCTAAAGGGCGGGCTGCCTCTGTGTGTCTCTGGATAAGTCAACCTGGGTGGTCATAAGAAAATTAGCTAGGATAAATATTTTATGAGGGTGATGAAATCATCAATGCTAGTTTTAGAAGAAAAGGTTTTTCTTAGAAAATTCAAAATTGTTCATGTCATACAAAGGCGTGTCTTATCCATAGTTATCTGGTTCACATGTACAGCACAATGAAGAAAATCAGTACGAACCAGATGGGTTCCAAGTTTAACAACACACATTGAGTAGATCTCTTACAAGCCACTTTGTCCCCCCATCTTTAGATGACCCTGCCTTTAAAGTATCAAGCTAGTGTATTCTGCTTGTCATTATCAGTTATAACATTGAGAGAATAACATTTGAATATCTAATAATTGTGGGTGAGCACAATATTGGAAGACAGGACCAAAAATGATTTGGCTGTACTAATTTGTAAGTCATTTGGATATGAGGTCTCAAGCAGCGGAGCTTCATCTAAACCAGTGCTGGCCTTGCCGTAACATGACCCTGCTTCAAACTGAGCTATGGGAAGAAATGAAAGGGCAGAATCAATGCAAACGTTTCAAGACCAGATTTATTCATAGTTCCTTATAGGCTGGCCTAGTATAGTACATTTTATTTTCACAAATCTTGTTAGGTTGAAATTGGGGACAAGAATGTTCTGTAGAATACAGTTTGGGCATCCCTTACTCCAAATGCCCAAAGTGTGACAGGTTTTGAAGTTTTTCAAATTTTGGGATTCACACAGACTACCAGCTCCTTAATCCATCATGTTGGTACTCAAAAGTTTTCAATATTACAGCATTCCAGATTTTCCATTTTTGAATTAGGAATAATCAGCCTACATAACTTTTTCAGTATTGAGGACTGAACACAAGGATTTTGCATTGAGTTATATCCCAACTCCTTTTTATTTTTTGAGACAAGTTCTTGCCAAGTTGCTAAATTGCTCAGTATGGGTTCAAACTTGCAATCCTTCTATCTCAGCCTCAACTTTTTAACTTTTCATTGGAACATATTTCTATCTGCCTCTTTTAAATTCTCTATTATTTATTTGAAAAAAGGTAGAAATATATGTTAAGTAAACAAACTTTGGAGAATGCTGCATTATTAAAATGAGTTTTGACTATTTTATACTAAGTTCTACTTATTAGATATCTTTCTACTATTAGGGTATTTTACATTCAGCAATCATACCTGATAAAATAAAAAATTACTGTTTAAATGTAAAATGAACTATTCACTGTATACATTTGCCATAACATGATTTGGCTAATAACATGGAGCCTGATTAAATCAGCTATTCCTCAATATATAGTGGACCCTTGACTTACAGCCAGCTGGACAAACTTAGGTTACAACCAGAGTTTTAGTTTTAACTTAAGACCAAAGTCCTGAGTTACAACTTTAATGGCTGCTTGTGCTTCCAGATAGTCTCAGATACAGATTTAACCCTTAAAGAGTTCTGGAGAGAACATTGCAACATCCTTTCCTCTGTGGGGTTAATTGAAAAATCCTGAGCCTATGCCTGGAAGAAAGTGTGGCCTAAAATTACATAGGAGAGAGACTTTGAAGGCTGTGTAGAAGAGCCTGAGCCTTCAACTGACCAACTCAAGTTACAACCAGCCTTTTGGAACAAATTGAGTTCTTAAGTCAAGGACCCACTGTAAATTATAAAAATAAAATGACATAATTGACACATAAGGTTATATTTACGGGGTATTATGTGATGCTTAAAAACATATATACATTGTATGATAAATTTTGATTTCTATGCTAGACATGGACATATTGTAAATGCTCAGAAAGCATTTAGAAAACAAATTTTCATACTATAGTCCACTGATGTAGGGGGTGACTTTGGAGTGTCTCATATACATTTACTCTTATGTATCTCAGCCATTTCAAGTTGACATTATCATTGGCACCCTTATTTCTGTTCACATCATACATTGCTAGTTTTTAAAAGTCACTGCTTCAGGCACAGCACATATAATATTGCCCTTAATCCACAAACAATCCATGAGACAGTTATTATGAATCCCATCCATAAGGAATTATCAAAATTAAACTACTTGTTTTTTATTCATATTACTAAGAAGTATCAGACAAGGTCTTCTCTGACTCACTTCAAACTATACTGTCTTCACCACTATGTTTACTGCCTTAATATTAAGTGTGACAGGAATTATAGGCAAGCCAAGCTATCCCACAAGTAGCTAATGTGCAACAATTATCCTTCAGTCAACACTTTGGGGTCTAAGAGAGCCCTGTAATAACCACAAGGAATGAGCCGTGGATGCAATTATTCAACTAAATGTGGGAGCAGACAACTCAGGGAATACTGTATGGTTAATTTCATCTAACTGCCTAGGAAATAAACATTTCTTTTTTTCCCCCATTGTTTTAGGCTTTTCTCCTTCTCTCATAACCCTAAAGCTTCTGCAGAGCCCAGTAAATTCTTTCAAGCATGACTTCTACTCTTCTGTCTTCCTCACTGTCTCAGTTACACAGTTACCTAACACTAAAGTAGCAGTAAAGTAATAAATGCCCAGATCTAAAAAATTCACTCATGTGAGATTTATAAGCCTATAAGCTGTTTTTTTAGTGTTATAATTGGATCAATGATACCAATGATGGTGGTAAAAATCATACAATACCAGTAAAGGTTAATACTGTTTTTCAACATTTTCAAAACTATTTGCACCAATGCCCCAATCTATGCTAATGTTTACTTCTTAGCAGCCTGCATCTGTCATTCTTTTGGTGTTAACCATAGTCCTGAAAATTTTAGTATCCTCTAAACAACCACTTAAATAGCATGCTTGTTGCAATAACCAGACCATTTGAAAAATTATCTCTAAGCATTTAGTTATCAACAATCATTCTTCTCATTGGAAAAGTGCTTTAAACCAATAATGTGCTCGACCTAGGAACTGGATCAGTTATTATAATGTTATTAGAATTATTAGTGCCTTACTCTTATAAACTAATGTCATTAAAATACTAAACAAGTACATTTTAAAAAGTTTTCAGTTGAAACTCTCCCTCTTCAGCTGTCTCAAGGTTGGCTGTAGTGTCACATGTGAGAAGTGATGCTACCAGGGTCATCAGGGATAGTTTAGAGAGCATTCAATTTTATTTTATTAGCATGTTTGTCAAAAATAATGAATATATTCATTGTGGAGAGTTGGTACATAAAGCCTTCCTTTTTACAAATCATTTGTGATTTTTCTCCCCTCCACTGTGACTACAAGTTCTTTTCTAAATCTGCTTTGCTTCTCTTTGGACATTGTCCCTTCATCTCTACTTTTTAACTATGGCTTCATTTTTATTCCCTGGAATTTAGTTAAATATTACTTCTTCTTGTGCAGAGATATATGAATTAGAGATATGTGCTGAAATTTTTAACACTTTTGAAAAATGTATGCCTCATTAAACATTTTTGAGTTCTTTTAAACCCAGTTTTTAAAAAATGATTATTAGTAATTAATAATTTTATTATTAAAGAAATAAATTGAAGAAAATGTTAACAGATATCCACTTAAAGACTTTAGTATGATGTAGCTTCTCAAATATATACAAACACTGAGGTTTGTATCATAAATCACATAATAAAAGTCAAGTTCAACCAACACCTCCAATAATAAAAGTTTCTAAAATTCCACAGCAAAAAAGAATACTTAAGAATTAAAGATAAAGAATTAAAGATAAAGAATAGACACAGCCCATTTGTTGACTTTGTAACACTTTATTATATTATGAGATATTTTAGATGTGCAAAGCAATGCAGATATCAAAATATGCTTTTCAAATGCTTGGGGAAGGGCTTGTCTTTTGAGATTTTCAGACTCTAATGTATACAGATATGGTAAAAGTTATGAATAAAAAACACATCATTAACATACAGTAAGTAAACAGTAAAAGAAAGAATATTATAAAGTATGAAATACATATCATCAAATTTTTTGTGAATTTGAAGGTTGAATGACTTTAGACTAGAAATCTATTTGCTAGGGAAACTTTAGCTCAGTGGTTCCAGCGCCTGCCTGGCAAATGCAAGGACCTGAGTTTGATCCCCAGTACCAAAAAAAAAAAAAGAAGAAGAAATAAAGCAGTCCTCTTCCACTCAGAATAGATAAACCAAGTTTGATTCTGAGACGAGGTTGAGTTCAAGAGGACCCTGAAGTTTCTTCTATGGTCCACTCATCTAGAAAGTAGTCAAACATATATTAGTGAAGATCTTTAATACTGCCAGAGGTAATAAACAAACCTGGACAGAGACTAAATAATAAATACATATAGATGTTCTGTAAATATATTTTTAAAATATGATATGTTTTTATTAAAATGACAGGAATGAACAGTTCATTCACTTGACAGTCACTGATTAAAGACACTGATACCTTTAAAATACATTTATGGACTTAAAAACTGCTAAGCTTACAACTTCCATGTATGTCAAATAAAAGTTTTATTAGATTATAGAGTGCTGTTTCATGGGAATATAGATGGACAGAGGTTTCAAACAAGATATTTTTTCCATGAATATACATGTAAAATACATAAATATGCCACATGGTATGTAGAAACAAAACTCAAGGTCTTCACATTTACAAGAATTTATAGAATCTTCTTTGGAGAAATGTGTTATAATTCAAACTTCTCATCTTGAAAGTAATCCGCAAAATTGAGATATTCTTGGAGTTGACCATATTTCTGCATACACAATAGAAAAGCTAGTTATTTACTCAAAGCAGTAAAGCTTGACCTTTTCAAACTACAGCCACAAACAGGAATAAGTTCATTTCATGGTAATCGTGAACAAAAATTGTTTTTATTATAAATAGGAACTCAATTTTAAATAAGCATTTCTAACTCAAAAATTATTGGAAAGAAATACTATTATTAACTGTATAACTGTCATATATAATCTTACAATAAAAGTGTAATAACTTCAGTAACTTATTCAAAAAAAATTTGTGAAACACATATCAAATACTGCACTGATTGTTTAGGTACAGAAATTTTAAAAGATAACTTTGCCTGTCCCTAAGAAGAATAACATTAGGTGGTACTACACTAATGACAATCAGTAATAAGTCCATAAAGAAGTACAGACAGTGCTAATGCAGGTTCAGAAGACAAGTCACAGTTAGTTGAGATGACAAGATTTAGCAGACATGAGGTTAATGGCAAAAGTTTTCTGCAAGAGATAAGTATTCATTCAACAGTGACATGACAAGGATATGGGATTTACTATAATCTGAAGGTGAGAGAGAGAGAGAGAGACAGAGAGACACAGAGAGAGACAGAGAGGGAGAATACAGAGAATATGAATAAATTGACCAAAGATATTGAGATAAAGAATACAAGTACAAAATGGTAGAGTTGTGTAATAATTTGACAGGAAATGGAATGCTGCTAAAGGTTTGAGAGCAGGGGACTGAACTGATCTGAATTATATTTTAAGAAAACTGGTAAAACAGCCATTCTAGAATGTTTTGGTGACTAGTTATTAATATATGGTAAGAATTCAGGTCACGTGGGCCCAAATTGGAGTGCTAGCAATGAAGGTAGAGGATAAAGAAAAAGGTAGAACAAGTTAAGAAAGGAGTCAAGGATGGTAGTGAGTAGAAAAATGGCAGGGCTATTTACTGCACAGGTCTATTTTGGGGAGTGAAAGAGATGCATGTGTTCTCTTTTGGACCCACCACGTACAAAGTGGCAAGTGGTAACTTGAGGAGACTCAATGATGTAATGGTTTCTGTACTCTGTTTATGAATTCTGGGTGTCTACTCCCAATGAGATGAAAGAGAAAAAATCTTGATAACCTTGGCTTTTGTGGTGATACAGACCTACATAGGGAATGTGAGGAATGCACTTTCCTTCTAGATAAGGCTATGAAACACTTTTATATATTCTTAAGATATCTGATTGGTTCACCTTCTTAGGAAAGAAGGAAGAAATCAACAAGAGGGGAAATAACCTATGAACTACTTAAGAGTTTTCTTGGACAGGTACCTAGTTTTTATTAGATACACATATTTTAGAATTAGAAAACTATAAAGGCTTGGCTGTTTTTATATTATTTTCCTTTATTTTTCTCTATTATTTCTAAAATTTGTTTTAGAAGATTAAACTATCTCAGTTATAGTTTAAAAAGGAAGTTAAATCTTACCCTTGCTTTTATTACAAACAATAGCAAACATTAATCACTTTCTAATTGCTAGGTTCTATACCAAATGTTTAAAGTGTTAATCATTTAATCTTTATAATCAAACTCTACATTTTATCATTTAGTTCCTATTTTAAAAATGAGAAAACAGGCTTAATGAAGTAAAGTAACTTGCCTCTGAATTCTACTGCTGGTAAATGGCAGAGTAAATACTTAAATTCATGCTTAAAACTATTATAGTTTACTATTTCTACAGCTTAAAGGGTGAAGCTAGGGTATCATTTTTGGTAAGAAAATAAACCTCAAAGCAGAAGTGCAACAGGGAAGAGCCAGTTAGCATTACTCCACCATCCTCTCCACCACAAGATGCAGCTTCCAAAGTTTTCCTCCAATGAACAATTGGAGAGAAAAGTCTTATTTTAATAATGAAAATTACCCTTTTATAGTCCCAGATGGACCTACTGAGAAAACAGTTGGAATTGTGGGAATGATGTCAGAACACAAAAGGAGTTTGGAGTCTTCTACTCAGAAGTAGCAGACTAGACATGAAGAAAGGAATAGATCTAGCAATAGGGCTTCCAGAAGGTAAAAGTCTCAAGGAGAATCTTTATTAAGAATTACTCCATTTTTTTTCTCATTGAGTTTATTGGTATATTTTAGGTATACAGTATAGTTTACATTCATCATTAGGATCTTGTACCTTTACATGACAGGTCTTGGTTTTCATTTTTTCTCCTTAGCCCTGCCGTCCTTTCACCCCCTCCTCCCTTCCCTATTTTAAAATACTTTATTTCCATTTTTTCATTTTCACATTTTTTTCCTTTTCCCTTATTACTCTATTCTTTAAATATTGGGAGTTTAACATTCTCAAGGATTCTCATTGAATAGGTCTGGGGTGAGCCAGGGATTACATATTTCTCACACACTTCCTAGGTGATTCTGATGTGACAGTTAAAGGCAATGCTTTGAAAACAGTTTAAGATTTGGAAAAGAAAGAAAAAGGAAAAGATTAAAAGGTGGGGACAGAGAGAAGAGAAGTGGGAGGAGTTTAAGGAAAGGAAGAAGTATCTAATAATAATTTAAAATTTGTATTATTTAATAATATTTATGCATTACATTCAAAATTTAAAACTGACACTTGATACTCCTATTGATATATTTTCTAACCTCTTGATGTTCTTGTATCCATCATGCCATCCCAACAATCCTATCAACTGCCCAGGAAGCCCCATCATCATATGCACTTTCTCCTCAATAAAAAAAGTTAGAATTACGCCAGTTGCATATCATAGTATTTTAGTAGGAGATATATATTTATATTTCAGTTTTATAACAATTTTCATGTCATTTGTTCTCTTTTGTATTTGAGTTGCTTCAATATTACTTAAATATCATTAGACTAAAAATAGATAAACATAGTTCAATTGTTAGGAGGAAGAAAGTCAAGTCAGCAGGTCTTTGGGAAGACATATTGAGATATCCTGAGATAATGGAAGCAAAATGCTTAAAGAAGGGACAAGTAAGAAAAAAAGCAAAGTGTGAAATGTAAGCTGGAAGTGGAAAGACAGGAACAAATAGTTTGTGTAAGGCAGAAGAAAGATTTGGAATAACTGAGAGTTGAGAGCAGAAATAGACTCTTAGGTGGGCATTCAAGTGGCACTGAGCCCAGTCATTCTAAAGGGTTAGAGTAACTATGGTCACAAAACTGCAACTGAAGAAGACACACACGACAGAACACATGCAGTACTGTCACTCAAAGGTATAAACAGAGAGGGACAGCTAATAGTGAGGATGACAAATGTAGGAGCACACGACAAATTCTGAATTTCACCACAGCAACAAAAGTGCATATGAGTGTCTGGAAATCCCTTGAGAAATCCTAGACAAATATTTTTTAAGGAGAGGTCCCTCAAAATGAAAATGAAGCTCTTTAGTATTTTGATGTGAAAAAAGTACATATTTCCTAAACATAATATGATCTTAAAATGCCTTTAGCGCCCAATACTAAATGTTATTCTTTATGTATAATATTACATTTGACTTTCTATGCCTAAGAATGTTTTTTTCCCAGATCCTTTCTCTTGTCTCAAATCTTCTTAAACTTTCTGTGAGCTACAAAATTATGTGTGAGGCAAATAATTTGGAAATGATTTTTGCAAGAAGTTTAATGTTTCTCATATATATTATTATATAGTATATAACACATGCGGTGATTTTTCTATACTTCGTACACAATCCTTCATAAATGTGGTACACCAATAGGTTTTTCATCTCAACTTGAGGGTTGAGAACACTTAAAGTCATCAATATAAGCACTTAAGAATTTAAGTCTGGGAAAGTGAATGCTGAGGTTATAGATAAGTGATGGCTCCTCCCTAAGCCAAATGGAAAAGCAAAGAGAAGGATGGGGGTGGGGAAAGCATTCAGCAGGAGAGGTAGAAGCAAAGTGAAAGATAAAAAGCTGAAGAGAGTAAGAGAGAAGGAAGACTTAAGGATCAAGATGTCAGGGGCAGGCAAGATCACTGCGTGGTGGTTTGAAGTGGAAGAATAATTGCCAAAAGGGAAACCAATCATGATGTCATTCTCTAGACTAGGAGACTTCCACTGAACATGTCCTGAGAAATTCCTGCTTCATTATTCTCTATTTCTTTCCCACTGCTCATGAATTTATTTGCTAATTTACCATCTGCTCCCACCCTGCACACTGCCCTGGTCTTCTACAGATTTCCCTATGATATAACTCCGGTAATAGATCTCAAGGCAGGCCTTTTCTTTACTTTTCTTCTTTCTTTTTTCAGTAGTTGGGATTGAACCAAGGGCCTTCACACTGAGCTATATCCTCTGCCCATTTTATATTAAATTTTGATAAATTCTCTCTAAATTACTAATTTGCCCATGCTGGGCTCAAACTTGTGATCCTCTTGTGTTAGCCTCCCAAAGTGCTGGGATCGCATAGAATCATGCCCAGGTTCAGTTTGGTTCTCTTTCTTTCTTTCTTTCTTTCTTTCTTTCTTTCTTTCTTTCTTTCTTTCTTTCCTTCCTTCCTTCCTTCCTTCCTTCCTTCCTTCCTTCCTTCCTTCCTTCCTTCCTTCTTTCTTTCTTTCTTTCTTTCTTTCTTTCTTTCTTTCTTTCTTTCTTTCTTTCTCTCTCTCTTTCTTTTCTTTTCATTTCTTTCTTTTCTCCTTCCTTCCTTCCTTCCTTTTTAAAACTAAATATACTGTTGATCTGAGTTGCCTGAAAAAAATCTGTCTCTTATACATCCTTGTAGCTAGACTTTTTTTTTAAAAGACTGCAATCAATCATATCATTTGTTCTTCCATGTAACATAAACAAAACTAAAAGCTCTGTGACCAGACCAGAGCTTATGAGCTGCCAGCAGATCTTTGGGAATCCAGTGCACTCTTCAAAACCCCCACTTTATCTCTGTTTTTCAAATTTAGTGATCAACAGTATATGGGGAATCAAAATCAGTGCCATGGGCGGAGCCTCTACATTCCCCTCAATCTTCAGTTCCTGTGCTCACTACACAGTCCCATGTCCTCAAGAAGAGGATGTGGGTGGTATTAGAACTGGCAGCCGAGGTTTTTTCCTCTGATTGCTACCAGGTGCTTCTTCAGACTCAGGTCACAAGAACTGTTGTAAAGAATAGGAAGCAGATAAACAGAAATGAGTCCTACATTTTTTCCAAAGAAAATAAGGGGACTTAATATATATGTAAGAAGTACTCATGTAGTAGTGAAAGGACAGAGGTTCTTCATTAAAGGACAACATTATTGTTCATTGAAATTTACCTGATGGGCAGAGTGAATTCTTGGACCATCAGGGGATTTATTCAGGGTAGAATAATAATAAGCATGAAAGGAATGGGAGGAAGAAGAGAAAACACAAAATAGAAACAAAAAACAGGGAGAAAAGAGGTTCTCTTTTAACACTGATTTCTAATCATTTGTATCTTTCTGCTGGTCATGGAGTGGTTTTTTTTTTTTTTTTTTTTTAATGGAGTGGTTCTTCTATTTCACTTTACCTCTTTAATCCAGCCACTTTCTTTGTACTGACTGAAAATTCTTTCCACTGTTTCTTTAACTTGTTCATTCTTAAGTTCTTCTGTCTTTGCAATGGAGCAACATTCCTGGTACAGTTTAAATTTAAAATGTTTCAGTTTATGGTAAATTCTGGTTCGATTAGCACAAATTCTGCCAACAGTAAACACCTAAACCAAGAAATAAACAATATAATCTCACATATGAAGTGAATCATGTAGTAATATATATATATATATTTTTTCTTTAAGAGAATCTAGCAAATAAGTTAATTTTATTTTAAATGTTGTATAATGATCCTGTTAACTTCTCATATAGTCAATAAAAACTGAGCACCTACTATATTTCTGGTATTGGGCTAGGCATTGGAAATAGATAAAGGAAAGGTTTACTGTCTTTATTAGGGATGTATAGTCTTGGGATTATAAAACAATGTGACAAATGCAATGTATAAGATACTATCAAGAGGCTGGTGAGGAGCGATATTTAATCCAACCCAGAGAGAAGGAAGGTCCCCAAATCTGTGATGATTGAACTAAATGTTCAAAACACAGAGATAGCCAAGTTTGGGAAGGAAGAGAGAAATGGTCTGTAAGGCAGAAAGATGGACACACATGAAAACAAGAGAAAGCTGTACAATGTATGCACCTATTTGATAATGTTCAATTGTTGAGCCAAGAGTATGTTGCCAAAATCAATTTAAATTATATCATGATGATTGGCAAGAGTTAGAGTTGAGGCATTTTCTTGTGATAATGGTACTTTGGATAGCTTATCTTGAGATTCCCCCAAAGCTGAAGAAAAGCATGTTCAGATTTATGTTCATGCTTCTGTGAAAATCTTCCTGCTTTTCAGATCACTAGAATTAATTACGCATTATAATTTGCTTTTTTCTTAAATTAGCTTTTCCATTTCAATACTATCATCAAACCAGTACTGGTATTAAAGAGCATTAAAATAATTCAATAGTCAGTATATCTCCCTTAGAAAAAAGACATCAGAATAGTTGCAGTGCCTTTTAGGGGTTCCTGTGTATCTACTTCTGCCATCAAAGTCAAATGTGCAGGAAAAGTTTTCTATAGCTGTTGTAGACAAAATACAGGCAAACAATATTGCAATTTGAAGTTCTATCACACCATTAGTCTCTATTTCCACAAAATAAGAAAAATTTATCTGTATAGAAATTTTAAGTTGGAATAAAAATATTTAAAATTCTTATTTTAGTTTTTCCTCCATGAAACAAAAGTGACATTTGAAAATATTTCTTTCAATTTTTAACTTCTGCTTTCTTAGCATCCACTTTCCTTTATAAAGATGATAACCCCTAAATTATCTTTAGAATATTCCCATATTATTTTTCTCTAAACATGATCACATTTTACATGCAAACGCTTAATTTTATGTCATAGCCCTAGTCGTATAAGGATTCATAGAAAATAGCAGATGCATATAATAGATTTATCAGTCTAAGTTGACTTATCCCCTCACCCTATCCCTGTTTTTATATGTATTATTACAGCTAATATCACATGAATTGATGAATACTGTACAGAACAGCTTACAGTGTAGTATTTTATTTGTATAAAGTATTGAAACAGGAAAAAAAATCTATGCTTAGAATAATTATTTTTACACACTCAGAAATTTACTCAGAGCTACTTCCACTTATCTAGTTACATTTCCATACAATAAAGAAACTTGTATAACAAGAAAGATAGTATCAAAAAGATTAAATGGTGCCTGAGTGTTCACAAAGCAGATAAGCAGTATGGCATACATATGATTACTGATCTGTGCAGGTTTAACACATTTCTATGAACTGATAAACCTGATGATAAGTGAATCACTTGTTATCAATAAGAACTAAGTCAGCCTATATACCCAAAGATATTAAGCAAAAGGATGCTAAATTGCAAAACAGTAGAAAGAGCCTGATTTGTAACTTATTAGATAGATCATGTAGATGTATAAATTAATATGAAATAACAAATTAAGGAAACAGCACAAAATAGAACAAGGAAATAGCACAAAACATACATTATGTACAAACAGTAATATCCAGCTAACCGCAGGTGATTTTTTGAGTTATTTATGTAGGCTCTCACTTATTTATTTGCTTTATTTATTTATTTATTTCTATTAGCATATGTTTGGAGTACATAAGAATTACATTCATCCTCGGGGGTTGGTTGGTACATATACATATTTTAATTCTTTTTATGTCTTTTTATGTCTCCTTCCCCTCCATCTCTTGGTCTTCTTATTTGCAAAAGATCTATGTCCCTGTTTCCTATACCTATCTTTCATTTTTGCTCTTTATTTATACTTAGGGTTTCTTTTCTTTTTTTTTTTTTTTTTTTTTTTTTTTTTTTTCTTGGTACCGGGGATTGAACTCTGGTCCAAACCACTGAGCTAAATCTCCGGCCCCACTTTGGGTTTCTCATTTAAGAGAAATCATGTTAAATTTAAGCTTATCTGATTAATTTTACTTAAAATTATAGTCTCAAGATATACAGCCATCTTATTTAATACACACAGAAGCCAGCTGCTTTTGGAAGTAAATGTATGGAGCACAAACAAACAAAAAAAAGATTCTCAAGGAAAGGGAGGAATGGGAAAAGTTTGTATTTTGTTTCTAAGTTTGAAGAAACAGTTCAATAGATTGATCAAGTGATTCTATTTCCTCTTGATCTTTTTTTTTTTTTTTTTTTTTTTTTTTTAACGCAGACACATTATACACTGCCACTTGCCTCAAAATTATTCCCTCTTCCCATGGTATCTTAAGCATCTTGAGCCTAGACAGACTTTGTGCACAACTAAAACGTGACTCAAATTTTTGGTTTTAGTTTTCTCAGCTCCCTTTCAAACTTTCCATCCAGGTAACTTCATCAACAATGTTCTCAGAATTCACCACAATCTGGTGGTCCAAGGCCTCTCATTTCAGTACCCTGCCCAAAACCACTGTAATTAAATTATTCTATTAACTGCATTTTATATCAAAGCATACATTTAAAGAAGCTGATCTCTGGTAACTAAAAAATAAAATTTTATCATTAAACAAATTCACTGTAAATCCTCTTTAAGTATTATGTACAACTTTAAAAACAGCCCTAATCCTAGAAACTCACTTTTATGTTACTACATCAGCACAACACAATAGAGAATTAAAATAATAGGTTATTTCAAAATAATCTGAGGGTAGGTGTAGGGCTGAGACAGTCTCTTTCAGGCTCTGGATTATAATAGGTTTGTTTCTCCCACTTCTTTACATACATGTATTGACACTGTATTTATGCACTATAAGTTTCAATAAGTGAATCTTCATTTTTATGTTTTTTTGTTTTTTTGTTTTGGTACCGGGGATCAAACTTGGGTCCTTGCGCTTGCGAGGCAGGCCACCGAACTGCTGAGCTAAATCCCCGGCTCTAGTGAATCTTCATTTTAAAGAAAAATTTACCAAAAAATATTATTAAAGAAGTTCAATCTTACCTTCTTAAGATAAACAACTGGGTTAAGGTTTGCATATAATTGAATACACAAATCCACATTTTCACACAGAAATGCATACACTGCTTATTGTACTTTCATCAAGAATTCCTTGACAACATTATACTTTATCATTGATTTAAAAATACTTTGATACTTTAAGAGGTATCAATCTTTAGCTTAAGATAATCTTATCTGCATGCATTTAAATAGCAAATATGCATTTTTCTATATATTTAACTTTAATGTTTTCTCCACTGTGATGTGACTATATTAATACTCTTATTTTATGAGATCTCTTATTTTTTAGATCTTTGAATCAATATATATTTTGCAGTACCAGGGATTGAACCCAGTAATACTGCAATATACTGGATCTCTATAATTGTATAAGATCTTTTAAGATTAATTTTTGCTAGGGTTCTAGGGGTCTTATCCTATAAGAAGTCATACATCAATTTTTAAACAATGGAAAAATTCTTGAGAAAAGAAATATGCTTTTATACTAACAAAACATTAATGCCTAGTTCTGAATTTACTGTACAAATACAAATTTTCAAAGTGACTCTTGGAATCCATATTGCAGAGGATCTAGTCTGTTAATGCCCAAGAGTACCGAGGAATCACACTACCTAGGATAGCAGAATATTTCAAATAAATAGCATTTCCACCATAAAAACAGGGAGGATTTAGGGATAACTTTGGCTCTGTATCTCTCCAAACACACATACCTTCACAGATATGCAGACTCGCCATAGGAAACACTCAATAGTAATATTTTTGCATTTGTAAATGCAGCTCTCTTATAAAGATTAAATAAACAGTAGACAGCATCTACACTTTGCATCATTTACATTGTTCTGCCATGTTCTTTTCTATCAAAAACTTATTCTTTCATATTCTGTTCATTCAAAATTAATTCTATTTTAAGTACAAGATGATTACTCTAGACTCTCACATACTTCTTATGTAATCTAAATTGAAGCATGCTGTTCTTTGAATTCTCTCATGGTAGAATAGAAAGCCATTTTCAACTACTTACTTTTGGACTACAAGTTTCATGGATTATCTATGATAAAACTATCTACTTGGCCAAGTTCTCCTTTGGACTCAAAGGCAACCCCTGCTTCTCCTGCCCCAGTGATCTTTCTCATCATTCTCATTCTGTATCCTTCCCTCTGCACAATTCAGGTGATATCTATGTCTATAATCCATCTACGGAAGATACAGCAATTGTATCACTGAATTAGAAATGAATATGCTATCAAAGGCATATTTCTCACATTCAAAATGGTACTTTCTTTCTTTGAATTTTTTCCCTTCCTAGAGTTTTCTCAACTTGTAAAACTTAAGGTTATGTGGGAAAGGTCACAAACTGAACATTTGTAGTGCTGGGGATTTAGCTCACTGGTTGCTGCTGCCTGCCTCGCAAGTGCAAGGTCCAAAGTTCAATCCCCACAAAAAACAAAACAAAACAAAAATCCCAAACAAAAAAACTGAAAATTTCTAAATATTTAAAACTGAAATTAGAGAAAAACATACCTGTTTATCATGCGACATGAAATCATCAGTTTCCATAGTTCTGACGTTATACAACTTTCCTGATAAATGCACTGAATATTTACAGTAGCGATGCAATCCACAAGCCTGGCAAGAACAGTTTTCAGGATTCTTCAAATGGATAAGTACATTAGAATAGTTTTCTACCCGCTCCTGAAAATAATTAAAAAATATTAGGGAGTTTAAAATTAAAAAAAATAAACTAAGAATCTAACTGAAATAAAATTGACCTTAGACTCACAATAAGCAATAAATGCAAAACATACTGGTATTTCTACTTTAACACTTAGCACATGGCAAGTGTTTGACATATTTTTAAATGAAATTTTAATCTTAGCTATTAATTAGATGAGGAAAAAATTAGATCATATCTCTCATATTTAAGAGTGACTACTATGTAGTACACCTGATAGATTTTAATTTACTTCTTTTCTATCATCTCATGCCTAATTACCATTAATGAGGTATTAATTAAAAATAGGAAAGAATGAGCAGCACACACACAAAAAAAGATTACATCTTAGCTAGGTCAATGTGAAGAAAGGAATCACATTCATTCTTTATTGTATAAATTGTATTTTGCACAAAACATTCTAGAAATTATTTAATTCTCCTGCTACAGACTTGGGAAAATAAACATTTTGGAATTAAAACTGCTATATGTTCACTATCTGATTTATCAATGAGTAAACAAATTGAAAAAACAGTTGGTGTGCATAAATAAGCTTTATTAAGCTGTGAAGTTGCTTGTGCTTGAGCATTTTTCCTTACGATCTAGGCCTGTGCGAGGGATAGTGTTTTTCCAATTTGTAATTAATATGTGAACTACACATAATAAACATATTAGCCTGGTTACTAATCTACTTTAATATCCTTTTCCAGCCTGATAGTAAAACTATACAATAGCTTTGTACACTATCATTTTATATACCTTTCCGATTTCTCATACTTTATGGCACTTCATAACACATATCATTTATTGGCTGAAATTCAGACCAAATAGGTGATTGACTTCTTTTTCTGCTTCTGTAGTACTCATGGAAGCATATGCTGAGATAAAACCTCTGAGATGAAAGCCACTGGCTTGGTTTCCTGAGTGTGTACAATGAGCAGAGTATTCCTAGTGACTCATTCCTGACATACATGTGATAAATGTACTTTGTTGAATTAAACTACTGATTTTGTTATTTATTTTATCTGTTACATTACCTATTTTATCAATTGTAGTGTTCTGCTTTAAATCTGAGGTGCCTCTCAAAAAGCCTTATGTGTTTGGAAGGTGATTAGATCATGAGGGGTACTGTACTCATTAGCTGACTTGCTAATAGCAGGTGGGTCACCAGGTGCGTGACCTGGAAGGCTCTATCTCCCTCTGTGATACCTCTCTTCTCTCTCCACTTCCTAGCCACTATGCCCTTCTTCTGCCAGCTCCTTGTATCATGCCATTTCTGCCTTGCTTGCAGCCTGGAGACCATGGACTGAAACTTCTGAAACTGTGAACCCAAATAAACTTCTCTTGCTTTTTAGTTATGGGTATCAGTTTATTATTGTGTCCCAGAAATAAAATAACTAACATACAGTGTAACTCTCTTACCCAAACATCTTACTGAATCATCTGTGTCTGTAATAATTATGTGCATTTTATAGTTATTTCAATGTAGGTTTATTACTACAGTCTAACATAATATAGAGGAATGAATTTTGCAGTCTGAAAGGAAATAGATTTAAATACTGGCTTAATAGCCCTGAAACTTTGTTACTTAATTTTTCTGAGTTTGTTTCCTTGTTTGTAAAATAGAGATGATAACACTGTTTTCTTTACAGGGTACTCTGAAGAGTAAATGACACTTTACATGTAAATCACTTGACAAAAGTTAAGTACATATCTAGGTGTAGATTTTTTTTTTTTTATTGTAGCTAGTTGGGGTCCTATATACCTCACTTATCTGAATGTCCTCTCTCTTTCCCCTCTCTTTGGGAAGTTTTCTGTCATTAATTCTGTGAACAGCCTTTTAAAGTCATTTGTATTTTCTCCTGCTACTTCATGTATTCCTATCAGTCTTATGTTATTCTTCTTTGCATCATCTAGGAGTTGTTGGATCGATTTCTCATGATCCCCTACTGTTTTTAAGAGACCTCTCTTTTCATGGTCACTGACTACAATCTTATCTTCTATATCTGAGAGTCTATCTTTGCATTCTTTTATTCTCTTGTGTACACTTTCAATGGAGTGTTTAATCTCCTGGATATCTATTTGAATCTGTTTTATGGATTCCATTTCTTTCCTATGTTGGGCATTTATTTTTATTTTCTTTCTTATGCTGGGCCTTCATGACTTCTATCATGGTCCTGAGCTCATCTATTTTTTTGTCAGTTTCTGCTCTAGAGTCTCGAATCACGACTTCCATTTTGCTCATTATATCTATAGTTATCTGGGAAATTTTTTCTGTTTTGAATTTTTCTAGAGCCTGATTGATCTGTTTTGTTACTTCCTGTGCTTTGAGTTCAGGGTGTCCTGGTGGTTCACTATCGGCCTTTTCATCCTCACTTAATAATAATAATCAAGATCCCAGAAACCCAACAGAAGAACAAAATACTACAAGCAGTAAGAGAAAAGAAACAAATCACATGCAAAGGAAAGCCCATCAGAATCACAGCAGACTTTTCAACACAAACCTTTAGGGCAAGGAGAGCCTGGAATGAGATATTTCAAGTACTAAAAGAGAACAACCTCCAACCTAGAATGATGTATCCTGCAAAACTCTCTTTCAAAATGGATGGGGAAATAAGACACTTCCATGACAAAGAACACCTGAGAAACTACATGAATACCAAACCAGCACTACAAGGAATTCTAAACAAGATCCTAGAAAAAGACAATGAAGGCAACAACACCATGAGGCCCAACAGAGCAAATCAAATAGGCAAGGCAAGAAACTAAAAGGAGAAGGTGAAAAAGTAAAAAGAGTCAACAAAAGGCCAATAACATGTCAATAATAAGTCAGTACATATCAATTATAACCATCAATGTCAATGGCCTCAACTCACCAATCAAGAGAAATAGACTGGCAAAATGGAATAAGAAGCAATATCCAACAATATGTTGTATACAAGAAACACAACTAGTGTAAAAAGAAGCCCATATACTGAAAGTGAAAGGATAGAAAACAATACTCCATGTGACAGGAGCCCAGAAAAGAGCAGGGGTAGCAATCTTATTTGCAGACAAAGTAAATTTCAAACCAAAACTGATTCTAGTATTATTGATGTAGGACGGTACTGTATCATACCTCTGTGAATGTAAAAAAAAAAAAATATCTTGTACCTGCTTTATGATACATAGTAGTGACTGTGCTTTATCAGAGCTATATTTAATGATATTACTCTAGAATGTTCTCTTTCCAGATGATGATTAAGATGCTAATAAAAATAAATGGTGCCAGGTACCACAACAGCAACAGAACTATGCTGTTTTCTGGATATTATTCTTCTCTTTGGTTTTTTTTTTTTAATGGAATGTGCTGAATGTCTATAATTTTGTTCAGATGACTGCAGAACCTGGAAAAGCTGTTGCTGCTATTGATGCATAACATACTGCTATTATTGGTCTTTTTATATAAATATAAATATATATACATATATATATATAATTTGAATTTTGGGAAACGTTAATGGTGCTGTCAACTTTGGAAAAAGTTATCCCAATTTACTATGTTGAGTTGGCATTGTACAGAAATGGACAGCCATATTGGTCTAGAAATGTTAATTTATTTATTTATTTTTTTTTTTCCCATTTGTACAGGGGTAACGCACTGTATTAAATACGTAAGGTCATTACGTGAGTTTGATTACAGAAACTAATAAAGTATTCTCTAAATAATGAAAAGAAAAGAATAAGACTACAAGAGCAAGAAGCAATTTAATATGTTAAGGGACCACTTCCATCTTCAGAATTAAGGATTATTTTAATCCTACGTCATTGCCTTTTCTCTTTACTTTCCTTTTTAGTTTTATTTTGGGAGTCCCTACTTTTAATGTTCATACAGAGATTTCTTTAACTGAAATACCGAATAGTTTCTCTGGTATGAAAAAATATAATAGTACACAAGAGCCTAATGAGATAATTAATAATGTGAAATAGGAAGTAAAGGGCTAAAGGTGTAGGGAAAGTGGGAAGGGTGGGAGAAAGGCAATAAGGGAGAGGGAAAAAATATGAGAAATTGAAGAAATGGAAACTAAGTGTTTGTAAATGGGGAGGGGAGGAGTGGGTGAAGGGAGGGCAAGGACAAGGGGAAAAATGAGAATCAAGATCTATCATGTAAAGGTACAGGATCCCAATAATGAATGTAACTGTAATGTATACCTAGATTGTACCAATAAACTCAATAAAAATAAAAATAAAAATAAAAAAAAAGTTAAGTACATATTATTTTTCTATTAGAAGTAGCTGGCTGCTGTGGTACAGAACTGTAACCCCAGCATGAAGGGAATCAGGAAAGAAGAACTTGAGCTTAAGTTCCTTGTGGGCAACTCAGAGAGACCCTGTCTCAAAGTAAAAAATAAAAAGGACTAGAGATGTATCTCGGGGGTAGAGTATGATCCTCAGTAAAGAAAGAAAGAAACTGGAGTACAGAAAGGTTGAAAATTAAAAGTAAAAAGAACTATATACTGCCCTAAACTCAAGCCACTCTCCAACTTAAAAGTCTTAATTCTGTAATCCCATAAATTTAACTATTTATACCTAATTCTTATTAGGTAACTCAAGGATGAATAGGCCTTGGATGAAACCAAATACTTTGACTAAACAAGATAAAATGGTTAATAATTTAAGTGTTAGAGGGATTTTAGTAACATGAACTTCCAATACTTACCATTTTCCTTTTAAGAATTTTAGAAATAGGTGAGAAACCCTTTAAAATTATATAGCACATCCTTTATTAGAGATCATAAAACAGAATTCTTGAGATTAGCATAAGATCTAGTAAATATTATAAAATAAAATCTAAAAGTAAAACAAAAATTTGGAAAGTACTACCTTCTATTTTGCCATTTTGAAGATTTACAGTATAAATTCACATATTAAGGTTCCTGAAAAGTTCTTTAGTAAAGATTCTAGTTTACGTCGAACCCACTGTTTATCAAACTTTTTTGATGTATATCTCTTTTCTGAAATAACTCCATGAGAGACATATTCTCTTTTTGAAAGATAGGCTAAGCCCTAGAGATGTTCTGAAGTTATTTATCATTTAGAACCTCTTAATTATTAAACAGTTTAGTGTGAATGATCAACACAATAATAGTCTTTAGAAAAGAAAAGAAGTAAGTTGATTATTCTGACTGGATTCTGAAGTGCTAAGAGGTTCATTACCCCTGTTCTCCAGAGACTCAAAGATACTAAGATTGGAGGTCCCATTTGACCCAGTTATTCCCCTGCTGGGAATCTTTCCTAAAGAATTAAAAGAATCATACCATAGCGATATATGTACACCCATGTTCATTGTAACACAATTTGTAATAGCTAAAACTTGGAAGCAGCCCAAATGTCCATCAACTGGAGACCAGATAAAGAAAATGTGTGTGTGTGTGTGTGTGTGTGTGTGTGTGTGTGTGTGTGTTTTAAATAAAATGGAATACTACTCAACCTTAAAAACTGACAAATTAGAGACATTTATAGTTAAATGGATACACAGAGATGATACTCTTAAGTGATATAAATAGGACACCCGTATATAAATACTGAATAGCCTCTCTAGCATGAGAAACTGAAAGTGAAAATAAGCACTAAAAGGTATAACAGATAATGAGAAACAGGAAGAAAAGGGACAAAGAGGAAGGGAGGGGTAGGGGAAAGTAAAGAAGGGAATGGAATCAGTATGAGAAAATGAAAAATAATGGAAACATAGTCTTTGCAGTAGGAAATGGGGAAAAATAAGAACCAAGGTTGATTATGTAAAGGTACAAATTTTCAACAATAAATGTTATTATACTGTATACATTAAATGTTCCAATAAAATTAATTAAAAAAATAAACTGTATACCTTATACTGCTCTCTCCAACGGCTTCTAGAAGATAAATTCTCCAGTCGGGGCTGAACAAAGCGGTTATCCAAATAGTGAAGAGATGTCAACATATCTTGTGCATATGATTTTTGCCTGGTGCCATCTGTTCAAAAGATCAACACAATAATAAAAATAATTATGTTGCCCCTGTAAAGCATTGATAAAGTTGAACACTTAAGGATATCTTCCCAATAGTTTTATGAAGATGGATGATGGAAATATTTTAAATTAGAAAAAATTAGTATTATTTCATTACAACACAGGGGGGGAAATAAGTATAAGAGACTACAGTTCTCTTTATAAGTATCAAATTTTAACATTATTTTTGCTAGAAGAAAAACCCTGCCAAGTTATTTTTATTCTATTACACAAAACTGACATAAATTAACCACTGAATTAGGCTTCCGAGTTCCTCTGCAATTAGCTCCATTTTACTAATCCAGTGTTAATTCCTCCTCACGTCAACAACCAGAATCCTTTTCTCAAGTTAGTCCTTTTCCATATTCTTCTTTATTTAGAATGCTATACAATTTAGCATTCCTGATTCGATGCATATTATATTCTCTATTTATACGTATCTGTCAGAGCCTGTGAAGTTAAGCACTGATTTCTTGCCTTCTTTGAAGTTTTCTTAACAAATCTAATCTAGTTAATTTATATTAATCACTACAGATTCAAACACTTTTATCATGACTTACAAAGAACTTTTTCTTCTCTCCCTCAATTCATTCCATTCTAGCTACAAGGCCTTCTAGTTGTCCTTGTATACACTAATTCTTTCTTAAGAGTCTTAGAACTTGTTGTAGGTCCATGTATTTCTTCTTCCCTCATTTTATTTATGTTTCTACTTAAAAGTTACCTTTTGAAAGACATTCTTTGATCAGTCTTAACATATAGTGCAGACTTTAGTTTCCAATACTATCCTTTACCCTACTTTATTTTTTACAAGACCTAGTTTAGATTATATCATGATATATATTCACTCATTTATTGTCTGTCTCTCCCATTAGACTTTAGAAATCAAGGTAGAAATCTCATGTTTTAGTTATTGTTATATAACCAGCCCTTAAGCACGGCATGGTCCACAGTAAGCAATCAGTAATTATGTGTTCAATAAATTATGAATACAATCCTATTTTGGCACTTAAGTAGGTATTCAACAAACCATATTTATAGCCTATTAAATCTAGATTCTGGCCTGGATGTAAGAAACACATTTATATATTAACTGAAGCTCTTCTCACACTCTAATAAGGGAAGAAGGCAAAAATGTATTTTCGGTACCATATGAAAAATGCATTAATGAGTGCTACCATCTCATCAGGAAGGTGGCATGAATGAGAGAGTGAAAACTATTCCTTAAGTGGGTAATAGACAGCTTTCATAGCAGACATGTTTAAATATCATCTGGAAAATCTGGAGTAAAAGGAAATTATATTCTAAGAAAAAGCAAAAGCCTCAAAACAAATAGTACGTAAATTTTGGTGAAATTCAAAGAACTTACAGAAACTGGACTGCACAAGTGTAATGAAGTACTCTGCTGATTTATAAGTATGTGTCATGGCAAGGCCCTATCACATATTTACTTTCTATATATCTCAATAAGTGTTATGATATTTTTTATATGAAATACTAGAATCTTTCCTTATGAAACACTAGGATGTTTTTATATTTTTGGTATGGTTTTTCCTTGAAGAAACAATTGGTAAAGCTAAATGATGGTTGTTCATTTTGTTTGTTGTTTAAAACTTGGGGAAAAAATTGTTCTAAACATGCTATTAACTTACCATACAATGTTTGCAGAAAAGAGTCATCTAAAGCATTGATCAGCAGAGCTTTTACCACTCTTTCAAAGTGAGTATAGTGGTCACTAAAAGAATCTGAAATTAATTTAAAATAAGTATTAGGATCTGGTAGACAAAACAATTCACTGAATACAAAAGGCTCCATTTCCAAATTTAAGAAATTAATATTATAAGTAGACATTCCTTAATTATCCTATAGATGTCTTGGTAACTTGTGTAATCACTGAGCAGATCTCTATTTTCTAAATTTTCTGGCTTCTAGTCCAATTTTTCTAGTTACTATTTCAAGTTTTTACTTCTTAAACTTATTAAATAAGGAAAGTATTTCAGGGAATATTAAGAAATATGTTGTAAAAAGTATCAAAATCAGTTTATCAACTGAACAACTGGTGTGACACCCAGAGGGAAAAACCCTCCAAAGATAGATTAATATGCCTTAATCTGTGAAGGTCATTATACATGATATTGTCCAAGAAACTGCTACCCTAGCTGGACCCTAATGGCTATAAAAACTCCATTTCTCTTACGCTGACCCAGATTTGAAATTTGTCATATTACTTTAGAAAGGCTGTGTCTTCTCTATTCCACACCACCTACGTAAGACTGCTTTTCCACTGACCTAGTCTCACAGACAAAAACTGTTGTTGATAGGTCAGGCAGTGATACTATTACCATTACTTTTCAGTGAGGGTTTACTATTGCTGTGGAAATGTTCCCTTATCAAATATAACCCTTTTCTCAATTCAAATAGTTATCACAGAATGTCTGTCCTGTTTGGGCATCTGTGAAGACATTACTAAGGGCAGCCTGTTTATTTCCAGAAATGCAGAGATGTTTATAAGGGATTGAAGCAAAGTAAGATGTATCATTATCAACCAAGAGTATACTTGTCTTCTTTCCAGTAAAAGTAAAACTAAACATAAGACTGAACATACAATAATTTTGGTACTTATGTTTTTGTTAGTAAAAGGCAATGCATCTTGTTTTTCAGACTTCAGTGAAAATTTTAGTCTGCATTCACCTACCAATGGAGGTCCTAAAGTGATCTAAATATAGTAGTACATGTAGATAACAACAGCTAATTTGCACTGGGGCCACCAAACTTCAGAGGGCCTATCATCATTAAAAATTTTTAAAAATTATGGCCATTAGTGAATATAAGCTTTTCTTTAAAATTAGCAAAACTGGGAAATGAAGTGCATTCGTACTTCAAAATGATTCAACTTTGACTAAACTTTCATTAAATTCATGATGTTTCTATATAAATTGGGGTTAAATTAATCTAAACACATTCTAACACTTCCTAAAGTGTGCTAACAGGAAACTATCCTGGGAATATTAGCATTTATATTGAAAAAAAAGTCAAATTCATCCTCTATGCACCGAAATTTAAGTACCACTCAGAATTGTTTACTCCATATATTAGTTTTAAATGTGTTGATGCTTAGTCACTGATCTGCTATAGTTTTATAAAGTGCTGCTCTACTCAAAGACTCCCACAGCACTTTATGATTGGGAGGAAAAGGATGGCAGAGATCCGAATCACATGCACAGCATTTTCCTAACCATAGGGTGCCTCTCCTGTCAATGTGCATTAGAGTCTCTTTCAAAAAGATAAGGAAGAAAACACTCATTTTATTAGGGTTGAGGGAATAGGTGGATGGTGATAGATTATGCTGAATTCTCCAATTGAAAAATAAATAATAATGTTATTAGCAAGTATATGACAGCTATCATTCTAAGCACTTATATGCATTGCTTCATTTCTCACAATAAGCCTATGAGCTACGATTACCCTGTTTATTATTAGTGGAGGAAATGAAAGGATGAAAAATTTCCAGTTAAGAGTTGGAGACATGGCTAGAACTCATGCCATCTGCTTGCAGATTTCATATTTCTATGCCTTAAAGAGATGTTATGTACGATAGTAAGATTTCATATTAGCTTTCAAAACATACACGTTAGACTTAGAGAATTGGAGAGAATGAAAATTCAGATTTCTCATCTTAAAATCATAAAACCACTTTCAATGACGAAATAACTTCCCTAAGTCTACACAACTAGATAGAGGTGGAATCAGGATTGGAATTCAGGCCATTTTGAGAGCTTTTATCAGTGCTCCAGTTCCTGTACTGAATTTGCTTCTGTGAAATATCCTAAGTTTAACTCCCTCCACGTTTATTTTTAAAACTTCAAAGGTTAAAGGAAAATATTTACATTTATGCATAATTTTAATTTTCTAAGATCTTTAATCAAATTTCCTATGCCTCATTTCAGTCTAATTGTTCTCTGTTGATTTCCATGCCTTTATTACATTGTATTTCATACTGATTTGACTGTCACTTTCATGCCAGTATTGCACTTATTTATTGTGACTTTATTATAACTTTTTATATCTAGTAAGGAAAATCCTTTCAATTTACTATTTCAGAATTTATTTTCATATATTTGTTCTCTTAGGTAAATTCTGGAATTGTTTTGTAAGATTAAATAAAAAATCATCAGTGGGGAAAATAGGACCCTTTCTGTTGTTAGAATCCTTCTACATTGGGAATATAGACTAGTACAACCATTAGGGGAATCAGTATGGAAATTCCTCAAAAAATTAAAAATTGCAGTAACATTTGGCCCAGCTATACTTCTTGTGGGTATCTTCCCAAAGGATTTAAAACATCATATTATAGTGATACATGCATATCCATGCTTATAGCAGAACAACTCACAATAGGCAAATCTTGGAAGCAGTCTATATGTTATATATTAACATATAGATTCTATATTAACAGATGAATAGATAAACTGTGGTATACATATACAATGGAGAACCACTCAGACATAATGAAGGATAACTTTGAGTAATTTTAGGAAAATAGATGCTCTTGGGAGACCAAAATTCTCAGTGAAATAAATCAAAGAAGTTAAATACTGCATGGTTTCTCTTCTACGAAAAATGCAAAGTTTAAATAAAGAACAAAATAAAATACAGATAGGAAATGGAGATAGACTGGAGATGGGGAGGAGAACTTGGGATGAGGGGAGAGGGGAAGGAAAGGTGAGGGGAAGCAAAAAGGATCAAGATAAGATGTATATGTGTCAATTCCCCACAATGAATGTATTTATGTATCACTATGTATACTAAGGGAAAATTAATTTCAGAATAACTTGTTTCTTCCATTTATTCATATTTACTTTTTCACAGTAAAGTTTATTTTTGCACATACAAAGCTACATTTATTAAGATTAGGATTAGAAACTTTATTTTGGTTGCCAGTGTACATGCAATTTTTCCTGATTATCAAACTATTTATTGCTAGTATTCAAGATAATTATTGTGACTGGCCATTTCTGAGATCTTTCATTAATTTCAAAAGTAAAATTCTCTGGCATTTTGTGGGAAATGAGTTTTCTGGTACACTGTAGAACTGAAGAGACATACTGTTAAGGGATTCCTGTGTATTGTCTGTTTCTCTCCCAATTTTGGTCTTAGTTTAGTTTAAGGAAGCATAAGAAAGTTTATTAATACTCACTTAGCCAGAAGCACATAAATTATTGATGTACTTTCTTTTGGAATGCAGATGTAAGCCCAGTACAAGAAGGCAGAGGAAGAGCAAAAATCTTACTAACTTCTCTACTCCAATAGATCCTCCCTACCCTCTGTATAAAGAGAAAAGAATGGGGAAAGAACTCCTGCTCTCAAAATATTCTCATCTTTTTTCTTTTGTATCTTTGGCTAAATAAGTGAGAAACTTATAGTTTGTGTGGGTATATTTATATATGCATATAAATATCATATATTAAAATAATGTTTCTCAATACAGATAGCCCCTCCATTTACGATGGGGTGATGTCATTCTAAGTTGAAAATATCTTAAACTGAAAACTCATTTAATACACCTAACCTGGGGTAGTGTTATAGGTAAGGTCTTGAGTTCAATCTCCAGCACTAGAAAAAGAAAAAAAACAAAACAATATAGCTAATTTACTGGACATCATAGCTTAGTAACACAGTATACTAGAGTATCAGTTCTTTACCCTCATTTTTGTGCAGTTGACTACTGCCCAGCATCCAAAGAGAACATTATATTGTCTATCACTAGCCTGGGGGGTTCAAATGCAGATTTTTACCAAATGCATTTCACTCTTACATCATTGTAAAGTCAAAATATCTTAGGTAGAAGCATAATTTGGGAATAATCTGTACTTGTATTTCTGTTTCACTTTCATATCTCATTGCACTGTTCAAAAGACTCAGAACAAATAAAGCAGGATATATTTGTATTAATTTAAAAAAAGAATACTGTACTTCTATGATGCTTTATATAACTATGATGTTGGTTCTAAAACATTTTTCACGGAAATTTCCTCATTTGAATTTACCTTTACCTTATGCGGCAATATGAGTTCACTGGTGCTTTTTACTTATCATGGAACAAATGGTTAAGCTGCAAGATTCAAGACTTAATATAAATGATTATGCTATTCTTCTTATGGTTAACTCTTCATTGTGCTGATTAATTCTCTTTACTTGCTAGATGGAGATCACATTGATATTCTTTTAATCTAACTTCCAGTATTTTAGCAAGGCACTATAGACTAAAATGTATTCTTCTTATCTTTGCTTATTGTTTCTGTCAGTTAAATACGGAAAGGTACTAAAACATACAATCTTTTGTATCCACAAATTAGGATACTATCTACCTATATATACTTCCTATCTACCTGTATATACTATTTTCAGCATGTGACTCTGGGAACACTAGACTAATTATAACTTAATCCAGATCATGGAATGTTTTTCATTATTCATCATACAGGATATTACTTTAATGAGAAAATATATTTTGATTATACAATAATTACCTTATAGCAACTCTTAGAAGAGAATCCCCTAGCATATAAAAAAAAACCTTGCTTAACTTCCATTCTCTTCACACATGATAATAAAGTTAATACAATTATTAGTATTTAAAAATTGGCTAAGCCATAAATTATTCTAAAATATATGCTTTTTTCTGATTTTTTAAAAAAATCTGGTTATGTCTAACATTTATCTCAGTCTTAAAATATAAAACTGAGGAGTCTTCAGACAATATGCTTATCTTAATTATCTATCTGACTGCCAATGAGTTTCTATAATATGTCACAGTCTAAAGGTTACTAGGAATACAAAGAAAAGGGAAGGTGGTTAACCATTGAGCTTTACAGTGATCTGAAAGTGGGGGCACCCACTTGGCTTATTTTATTGGGCTATAGATTTTTCTGAACCAAAAATTATTTTTAGGAAACAGTTCCAACCAATGAATGAAATAATGAACTACAACAGCAGCTGGTGCTCCACCTCAAACTCTTTTAGAACACCTTTTAATCATTCAGTTTTGTACAAATAGAATCTGAAATGCCTGAAAGATAGTTCAATTAAGATGATAAATAATATAATGAAGAAAATTGGACCTTATGCTTAGAAAAAATATTGCCTGGAGATAAAAGTTTTGGAAGTTTTGCCTGTATATTGAGCTAAAATTCATAGGAAATATAACTGTCCCAAGTACAAGCAAAATGAATGTAGCTGAAGAATGTGGACTTTTTGGGAACATTAACGTTTATATGGAAAATGGAAAAAAAAAGAGGAAAACAATATTATAAAGGAAAAACAGGAAAGAACAGTACCAAAAAGACTAAAAAAGAAGAGACTGGTCAATGATAGCAAAGGATATAGCAATATTAGGTTAATATAAGGACTAAACATTATATTGGTAAATAGGTTAAAAATAACTTTAGCAAGAGAAATTTCACTGAATTGATGGATACCAAATTCTCAGTACTGTACTTTGTATTTTTACAGGTTCAAAAAGATAAGATTTAGAATTATGACTCAAGGGAGGAAAGGCATGAACCTGCATATAAGTGGAAGAAAAATAGCTTATAAGGCTAAAGACTTGTAAGCTGAAAATAAAGAAAACTGAGTGGATAGTAGAAACATATATAATTATGAACATACACATTAAAACATTACATAAAAAAACAAGATACATCTTCTCCAAAGGTAGAGATATTTAGTATTAAAAGTAAGCTTACAACTTACTTTGGTGGCTCACGCCTGTAATCCCAGCATTCGGGAGGCTGAGGCAGGAGGATCACTATGAGTTCGAGACCAGCCTGGACTACATGGTGAGTTCCAGGTCAGTCTCAACTACATAGTGAGACCCTGTCTCAAAAAACAAACAAACAAACAAACAAAAAACAAAAAAAACAAAAACCCAATCACAAAATAAAAGTAAGCTTACAGCTGTCTTCATATTTATTCAAATGAGGTAAAAACTTAGGTCCACAGAAAAACCTATATAAAAATGTTTATAGCAGCTTTATTCATAAGTTTGAAAACATGGACGCAACCAAGATATCTTTAAACAGGTGAATGGATAATTAAACTGCAAAATAAACGTAATGAAATATTATTCAATAAAAAGAAATGAGCTATCGTGAAATGCATAATGTTAAATGAAAGAGGCCAATAGGAAAAGTTCAATTCTATGTGATTTCAACTTTATGATATTCTGACAAAGTCAAAACTAGAGACCAAAAAAAAAAAAAATCTCTGGTTTTCCAGAGGTTCAGAGGGAGGGAGGGAGGCAAGGATAACAAAGGAAGATTTTTAGGAAGTAAAACTATTATGGTGTAAGATACTGTAATGGAGGATACATGTCTTAGGAATAACGAGAGTCCTAAGGTGAGTTATGATACACATTATTAATAATGTATCAATACTAGCCCATCTTGAGGTACAAAAGCTACCAAATTACAGGAAAAAGGTTTGTAATGAGGGAAACTGCCTGTGAAAGCATAAGAAACTCTCTGTACTTTCCATTTATTATTTCTATAAATCTAAAAGTGCCATAAAAATAATTATAGAGGTACAGGGTAAAGAAAGCTGAAGCAGTTTCCACTTGCTAAATGTTCAGCAGAAGTGAATATGAGCAGGTATCTCTCAGCAAATGTTTTATCACAGTCTAGATACATAATCCAGAATGATGGGATGTCTCCTGACTATCATTATGATTCAAATATCCAGGTGGCAAGTGATTTAATGCCTATTAATATAAAGAAGACAGTCATTTATTTCACAGTATAGTGATGCCTAGTAACTAACTGCATCTTTAATACTGGTAAGTTTCTTGAAAATTGACTCAGCAAATCTATTTTATTGTAAACTGTGAGATTTAAACCAAACTCAGTTATACTTAATTTTAACAAATATGACCTTTTCTGGAATAGTATTTGGAAAGGATATATTCTTGAAGAAAAATGTAAAGAATATCTCTCTCCCAGCCTGTTTCCACCAGCTATAAAATATAAAAATCACCTTTAAAAATATGTATAATTATAGGGATTAAACAAATAATACATATATAAATACATCCTAAATATTCAGGTCTATTTTAATTAGTTATGTGAAGATATACAAGATTCTAATTTCCTAACTCTAATATTGTTTCATTGCTTGTATGAAGCTTCAAATGGCCTGATAAAAGCAGTAACTGTCAAAGTGTAGTCTACAGATCCTTGGGAATCTTCAAATCCATTTAAAAAAATCTGTGATGTCAAAGGAGTAACATTAAAACATTATCTATTTACTGAATCAGACATTTTCACTGATAACTGCAAAAGCACACTGGATAAAGAAGCTGGCTCCTTAATATGGCAGAAGCACCAAACTATTAGTCATTATGGTAGTCATCACTGCTAGGCATTCACTGTAAAAATAACACTTCTACTTACAGATGCACTTGATGAAGTAATGAAATTAATTTTATTACATCTTAAATCTTAAGTATGTATTATTAGTACCCCACAGCATTAAAGGAGAAATACACACAAAATGTTTATACCGCATACTAAATTACAAAGGTTGTTTCGAGGCTAACCACTTGTGCTGTTGTGTTGTGGCAAAGTTTCATTTCTCATGAAACCCACTTTTTACTTCAAAGAACAAATAGCGAATTATGGTTATTCAGATTGGAACTCTTTCAGCCATGTTCTCAAAACAAAAACAAAAACAAAGTGAGTTATTTCAAGAGCTCACAGTGTTTGTTTATGATGATAAAAAGTGGATAATTAAGTGGAAATTGGAATTGAAAAGCCTGTTTGTACAACTGTGAACTTGCCAAGTTCCTGATATTATAGAAATATTCCAGTGACAATGGTAGTGATATTAGCAAATGTGAATTTTTAAAAATTGTATAATGAAATACATCAATATTTGGATAATCTGCAGAACCCACTGAATGAGTATTTTCCAAATGACTAATGTTTTAGGTCACAAAACCATACTTGAGTAAAATATCCATTCAAACTGTAATATGAGTAGTAAAAGTTCATTTATATGGTTTTGCATTACACATTACAAGTTTTAGGAAAATGTCACTCATCCAGTTGTGGTGGGTTATATCAAATGAAAATATCTATAATTATACAATAATAATGAAACTACTGTTCCCAATCAAAATGACTCAGAACATGAGACTAAAAGGCTAATTTGATGCTTGATATACTATAATGATTAGAATGTCATAAAACATTGTCTTGATATTTAACTTACAAAGAGAATTTTGTTTTATTAATTTCAGTTGTGAGGAAGTCAAACTTTCTTCTTGTTGATTTTTAATCTCTTCATCACCCTCCTCGTCTTGTACTACAAAGTCATCAATAATATAATCATCTCCATCTTCATCATATTTAAAATCATCTTCTTCCTCCTCACTTTCATCACTACCTGGGCAAGATTCTTTTTCAGAGTCCTAATTAAATGAAAATAAATGTATTAGCAAATTTTGCCTTTAAAATAGCCATTATAGATATGAAATTGAATCTAAAAGACAAAAAAAAAAAGATTCACAAAATTATATTCCTATGTTAAGGTTATTAAGGAATTTAGAAAAGTTAAATACTGAACTTTTGAAATTAGGAAGAGTATATACCTTAAGTAATGTAATATGTTTAAAAAATATATAAGTAAGAAATATACAAGAAAGACCATATAAAACAATGAATAGTCTTTCAGTTTTAAAAGAGTAATGGCTAAGGTTTATGTAAAACAATATATTACACACAACAGTGTAATCAAACATGTTAAATATATGAATAAAAACTTCTACACTTACTAAGAAATAGAACAGATTCAGTACTTTTTTATAAAAATTAGTTTAAATAATTTCAAAACAATAACAAAACCAACAAAATGCAACATACCTCAAAATCTCTACCACTATTGCACCTCTGGTGAGATCTTTGTTTTGAGAGTTCCTTCAGCTTCTGGAATTGTTCTCTCTTTCGAGAAGCTAATGAATTTTCAGGATTATTCTGCTCCATTTCCGCTGAAGAACACTCATCTTCAACCACTCGACGTGGACGTTTAACACCTACTTTTCTAACTAAGACATCACTGTCATCACTGTCATCACTGTCATACATTATAGAAGATGTCCTTTTTCTTTTCCCTCGTTTGATTTGTTCTTCTTCTAAATCTTCCTCTATGATTTGTCTAGTGTGTTTGTTGGTATCATCATCGTCTGGACTCAGATGCTTTCCATGATCTAGTAAGTCAATAGTCCTATGATTGGTTTTGTTAATTTCTTCTTCATATGCAGAACTGTTGTCAGTGTTAATAAGTTGCTCATTGTTGCTTCCTCCATTTTCAACTTTGATTAATTTCAGCTCTCTTTCACTTTCTGGTATTTTATTACCATCAAGCCCCTTGTGACAATCAAGCTCTTTATCACTGTCAGTACTTTCATCACTATCAAGCTCCTCATCACTATTGAGCTCTTCATCACTATCAAATAATTGTGTGATACTATTTCTTTTGGTCCGCCTCCAATCAACTTGAGATTTTTGCTTAGGCACTTGAGTTTTAGAATTTGACCTCGTTTCATGTCTTCTAACATGTACCATTTTCATTTAAGCTTCTACAAAATAAAGTTATTAGGAATACAATGATAACCAGATCACAGCAATGACTGCATATATGGTATGCATTATATTTACTTTGCTTTATTAAATGGTCCACAGAAGTAAAATCACAGGAAATATAGGAGATGGTAAAAGTTACTCAAAATATAATTTATTGAAAATCTATAAGATAGTTATAGGCACATGTGCTCTGAATTATGCTATGAATACTTTGTTTTGAAAGGGATACACAGAAAAATGGTCTGTGTCCTTCAGAAAATTATAAGTAAAACTAAAACATATAAACATATAATTAAGAAAAATTCAAGGTATTCGTCTTATGCCAAATTAGAAATAGAAAAAGGCATTTCAGTTAAAAACAGAAAGGACAAAACTTTGAAACTGATAAAGAATATTATATTAGTAAGTAAGTTTTACTGAAAAGGTAGCAGGAAGAAGTTTCAGGCTGGAAAAAAGATATATGGAAAGTAGAGTGAAATTACCAGAACGATTCATCCTGTAGGCTAAAAAAGATGTTGAACAGAGAAATTACATGAATTATAAAGTATTAGTTTATTTATAAGAAGAAAGTAATAAAGCAGTGCCAACCAAGAAAGAAAACAGTGCAGTGTTGAAAAAGAAACTACCACTAAAACTGTAACCTCTCTACACCTTAATAGAATGGCAATGGCTTTAAACTACTCAAGGTTAAAGATGTAATGTAAGACAATAAAAAATCTACTACAATCCAATAATGTAGTCAGGTGAAAAAGAAAAAACTTCATGGTAAAGCAGAGTATGATACCGGGAAGAAGAAGAAAAGCTGTCAAATTCTGATTTAGAAAAGATTAAATGCCATTAAAACTGTTAAGTTATGAACAAGGAATAATTAATGACAGGGAAGATAACTAGAAAATCACTAACACACATGCACTTCTCTTGTTACTAAGGATTACCACAATGTAATGATAGTAATCTCAGAATACATATATAAGAGCTTATATATTCAACTGAGTGATATCCCTTTGAAAAAAGTCATTTTATCAAGGTTATTATTCTAATATTCTTAGTACAGCACAGAATAGTGTTGGAGGTTTTCTATAAACAATAGTACAAAACAAAAACAAAAATTTAAACAAATATTTACATTTTTTTTTAAATTCCAAAAAGTAGTTTCAACATCTACTTCTTTCACTTGTCTTGGGTATAAGGAACAGGTAGCAGTTTCCGGAAATAAAATTTTTGTAAGATGAATATTATCATTAAAAATATTTTTAAGATACTTGACATACTTTGAAGTTAATTCTCAAATTGAAAAGCTTAAACTTCTTAAGCAATGATAGGACCACTGTGCTAAGTTTATAGCTGCCCAAGATGATTAACTGGGAGACAGGGGAGGATACCACTCATTTGATCGTATAAATTGTGGTATATTTATAATGCAATGTGCCTGCTTACAATTTTAATACCTTATTTAAAATCAGAACAAAAGAGTTTGTATGATTATGTATCACAGATTATCTCTATAATGTACACTGAAGTATAGCTTTATGACAATAACTCCTACAAGAAATAATCAGTACTGTAACAGCGATCCAAACATTCTAGTCAATAGACTAAACAGTCTGATATATTTGAAATTGTTTTGCATCTTGTAGAAGTTTTATATTAAAATTAGTACTGATGAAAATTTTGTGTAGTCGAAAGTACCCCTTTAAAAATACTCTTGAAAGTACTGTATAGTTTTGTGTTTACCATATTGCTTTCTAGTAAACATGTTTGAATTGGCAGAATAAAAAAAGCACTTATGATAACAAGAATGATTATAGTTTTCAATATATACAGTAAACCAAATATGGTCAGTAAAATATACTAAAGTTAAAGATGACTTTATTAGTACCTCAAAGCAGATTTACTTACACTAGATGATTATTTCACAAGACTATAATGTTCAAAACACAGGTACCTATATCCCAAAATCCCCTGTATTTTTAATTTTCAGTGTACTTTCATATTTGTTTTAAATTCTGAAAATCATCCAAAGAGGAAGATATTACCTCTCTTCATTTATAAATATTAAAGACAAGCACATAATGTTTAAATCACTTACCAAAGATCACACACAGCTTGTTAGCAAATAGAACTTAGAAACACTCTTTTTAAACTAAATTTTAGTGCAGATGAGTTAGGCCACAAACTTCTAAAAATTATCAACTAGCCAAGAAGAAAATATATCAAAGAGACAAAAATTTGCACACTTCCCTCTACCCTACTGATGGCATTGATCACAATATTTAAGGTAGTTCCTAAAGTGCCCAAAAGTAAAATTTTCAAGAAAGGCAGTGTTTGATGAGAAAAATATTTACTTTGACAAACTACAGAATTTGAATGTTTGAGGAGACACACTGTATTTAAATATATCAATTTCATTTGCCAAATTGTCTTATTTCAAAATTGCAATTTGCATTAGTAAGGTAAAATTTTCTGTTAGTGAAAGGGAAATTTGAACATGGTTGGTTCTTCTTTTAAATTGTGTAGATCTTTGCTGTATTAGCTGGGGAGGGAAGAAGGATAACAATAATGTGAGTGAACCTAGAGAGAGAAATGAAAAGGTAAAGCCAGGTTGATTAGTAAGACATCTCAGTCTTTAGAATCCACGCCAAAAAAAAAAAAAAAAAAAAAAATCCATGCAAATGGATGCAATTTCTGTATATGCTGTCTCTTGAAATGAGAATTCTAATCAAACTTCTGTAATATCTTATCTTCAGGCAAAAGAAAAAGAGACCCCAAACAAAAAGCATTAAATAAGTGAATGAAGAAAATCAAAACTATCACATCTCTGGGCTTCATGGTAAACATCACATAAGATGAAACACATAGCTATGTTGTCTGCCACAGAATATTAATGCTGATAATCTGTATTGTTTGGGTTTTTCCTCTTGCAATAATTCTACACCTAAAAGAAGGTACCTTAGTGATGTCATTTTGATCATTAATTTATACTTAAGCAAAGATTCAGTATAGAAATCATCTGTCTGTATAAACAATATACGTGGTAGCTTAATCGTTTAAGATTTGAAGGTCAGTGGAAAGTTATATGAAATTAACCCAGATAGTTATATGAAATTGTACCGGATGGGATTCAGTAGCTTGCAAATCACTCTTCCTTGATTTATTTTTTCATATGGAGATTAGGAAAGTAAACACTAATATACCAAAGAAATAGCTGTCAAAAGTCTACCAGAATGTCAGCACTGCGATGAAATAAACAACGGTGTCTGCTCCCAAGGAGCTAAGAATCTGAAAAACATACTAGGGACACCAAAAAACAAGACACGATTTGAGGGATTCAATATAAAATTCTAATCAAGTTTTTACCACACTGCTGTGAAAAACTTTACCACTGCCCTCCTGTTGGCTGGAAAAGTATAGCACAACACAAAATAAACAGAAAATGGGAAAATAAGGAAGACTTATAAAGGAAATTCAATTTATCCCATTAGAATCATGGGCCAATTCTACACAATTGCGTAGCGCGGATCCTGCCAACGTGGCATCCACCATAACTACAGTATAACATCCACTAAAATCTGTAACACTGACAGTGGCTCGTTAAATGCAGCAAGGTTAAGCGGTAGATGGAGGAAAGATCCTCTCGGGAGTTAACACCAGTGTCGTTTTCATTGCAGACCTCGCTCCCCGCGCAGCGTGCCCACGCCCGCGTCACTGAGCCTCCGAGTCCGGAAACCAGACCTCAGAGCTTCTCTTAAGACGGAAGCCCCCAGCTCTCATAGGGACGCTGCACCCAGAAAATAAAGGAGGGTCTGGCAAAGTCAGAAACCAAATCACGGATCCAGCTCCTCGCCTCAGTCACGATCCCCTCCCTCGGCACTAATAACGGGCACGGCTCCACTGCAGCTCAGCTGAGGGTGGTGGCGCAACTGGCTGAGAGACGCCTTGCTGTCCACTCTGAGATCGCCCGTGGGATTTTACTCTGGTCTTGCCAGAAGGAGCAGTTTTCCCCGCCCCCCTAATAAAGCATTAGCAGCCCAAGCGAGAGCCAGTCCCACCCGGGAACCGGCCGCGCGCCGCCCTCTAGCTCTCACCTTTCAAAGCGCCTCCGCCTCCGCCCTGGCACCAGCTAGAAGAGAGGCGCCCACCTTCTTCCGGGGACCAGAGGAAGTCCCGCCTCTGGAAGGGACGGGGGCGGAGGGGCGTCTTCCGGGAGCCTGCGCTGAGGGGAGGAGCGGCTGGCGTGCGGCAGTCATAGAACTGTGCAGGGTCCTGGTTGCAACTGAGGTGGGAGCGGGGCCCCCGTGGGTTGAGAGGGGCTGGGGGGACTGACCCGGCTAAGCGCAGCTTGGTGTAGTGGCGCTGAGTAGCGGGAGGGCCTGGCACCTGGGGAAGGAATCAAACGTTACCTTTCCTCAGGGGAGGGGACCAGTGCCCGACTCCCTGGTTCTTCCGCTCTTCGCTGTAACTTTGGGGTGTGGCGGTGGTTGGTGAAGGACCTTCAAGGGCGTCCTGTGCGAGAACGAGGTTTGGGGCCACAAAGCGGTTCTAATCTTGGCTGGCACTGGGGTAATAAAACACATGTCTGTAATCTAGATTATCCGTGGTGAATTGGGGCCTCCTCTACTGCACATCTGAGTTAAAGGCCTACAGCCTCAAACTTCCTCTTTCACCTTCCTCCGAAGTCTCTTTGCCAGCCAAGCCCAGCTGGGGAGGGGGTCAGGGCCATCAGGATGCTGTGAAGGTCAGAAGATTGAGTGTGTTAAGACTTTGTTAAAGTGAGTCAAAGAAAGAGAAAGAAGGAGCCTGTGGATTACCACAGCATAAGTGTGAGGGAAGTCCCAGAACCTCACTATGTCAGGGAAACGGAAGCGTGTGGTGTTGACTATTAAAGATAAGCTCGATATAATAAAGAAACTCGAAGATGGAGGTTCTTCCAAACAGCTGGCAGTGATTTATGGAATTGGTGAAACAACAGTTCGGGATATCAGGAAAAATAAAGAAAAGATTATAACTTATGCAAGCAGTTCTGATTCTACAAGTCTTCTGGCCAAGAGGAAATCTATGAAGCCATCCATGTATGAGGAACTGGATAAAGCAATGCTGGAGTGGTTCAACCAGCAGAGAGCAAAAGGGAATCCCATATCTGGACCGATTTGTGCAAAAAGAGCAGAGTTCTTTTTTTATGCTTTGGGAATGGATGGTGATTTTAACCCCTCAGCTGGTTGGCTAACGCGTTTTAAGCAGCGGCACAGCATTAGAGAAATTAACATTAGAAATGAAAGATTAAATGGAGATGAGACTGCTGTGGAAGATTTTTGTAACAACTTTCGAGATTTTATTGAACAAGAGAATTTAGAGCCTGAACAAATCTACAATGCAGATGAAACTGGACTGTTTTGGAAGTGTCTGCCTTCCAGGACTTCAGTAATCAAAGGTAAATGTATTGTTCCTGGGCACAAGCCAATTCAAGAAAGAGTTACTATCATGTGTTGTGCCAATGCAACAGGCTCACACAAGCTTAAACTTTGTGTTGTGGGCAAAGCAAAGAAACCCCGATCCTTCAAGTCAACTGACACTTTAAACCTGCCAGTATCCTATTTCAGCCAAAAAGGTGCATGGATGGATCTTTCTGTTTTTAGACAATGGTTTGATAAGATCTTTGTTCCACAGGTTCGGGAGTACTTAAGATCCAAAGGTTTGCAAGAAAAAGCTGTGCTTTTGTTGGACAATTCACCAACACATCCAAATGAAAATGTCCTGCGTTCAGATGATGGTCAAATATTTGCTAAATATTTACCACCTAATGTGGCTTCATTGATTCAGCCCTTGGATCAGGGCGTCATAGCAACAATGAAGAGAAACTATCGTGCAGGTCTTCTCCAGAAAAACCTGGAAGAAGGTAATGACTTAAAATCATTCTGGAAGAAGCTAACTCTGCTGGATGCACTTTATGAAATAGCAATGGCATGGAACTTAGTAAAACCGATTATTATTAGCAGGGCTTGGAAGCAAATTCTTCCTACCATAGAGGAGAAAGAAAGCATGGACTTTGATTATGAAGATATTTCTGTGGCTACTGTGGCCACCATTTTACAACATACCAAAGGACTGGAAAATGTGACTACTGAAAACATTGAAAAATGGCTTGAAGTAGACAGTACTGAACCAGGTTATGAAGTGTTAACTGATAGTGAAATCATCAGAAGAGCACAAGGCCAGACAGATGAATCTAGTGAAAATGAAGAGGAAGAAATAGAATTAATTCCAGAGAAACATATAGATCACACAGCTGCTCTCCAATGGACTGAAAATTTGTTGGATTATTTAGAACAACAAGGTGATATGATTCTACCTGATAGACTGGTGATACGTAAACTTAGAGCCACCATCAGAAATAAACAAAAGCTGACAAACCCAAGTCGGTAATGGAATTTTAATCATTGTTTTGGTAATTAAGTTTATTAAATTTGTTTTGGTTTTTTTGAGACAAGATCTCACTATGTAGTTGAGACTGACCTGGAACTCACTAGGTAGCCCAGGCTGGTCTTGAACTCACAGTGATTCTCCTGCCTCAGCCTCCTGAGTGCTGGGATTACAGGTGTGTGCCGCCATGCTCGGCTTGCAATATGTTTTAATTGTATTTGTTTTCTGAATTTTCAGGCACAGTCCTGTGAGTTTCAGGTAGAAAAAAATGTCATAGCTTGGGAATTATGTGTTTTCATTATCTATCTTGACCCTTTCTTTTGCAGATAACTTGATTCTATATAGATACCAATGTATTCAGTTGTGTATATCTATAGTCATTTCTTCAAAAACAGTGGCATTCCCCAAATTCTCTAGCAAAAGTTAGAAATAACAGTGAACAAAATTTAAGCACTTTCCTAAAATCTTTTCCTTGATTTTTTTTTTTTTTTTTTTTTTTTTTGGGAGGGGTGGGTGTTGGGGATTGAACTCGGGTCCTTTCGCTTGCAAGGCAGGCCACTGAACCACTGAGCTAAATTCCTGGCCGCTTTTGCTTGAATTTTAAGGGCTGCCAGAATAATCTTTTCTTGTGCTATCATAAATAGTTGTTTTGTGTATATGTATAGGTTAATAGGATGAGAAAGATATATATTGCTAGATTTCAGGATGATCTATAATTAAAAAAATGAAGTTTAATGGTGGGGAAATAATGATTTATTATCATAAAAATAACAAATTATACTTCTGTTTACATTTCTGTGGGTGGTGAGATTTTTCTGGAAATGAAATAAATATAGGAAGTAACTGGTAAAAGAAACTATTAGCTGATATAAAAAGTGGTATTCTCATCAGCTGTAGGAAATGGAGTTAAAAATTTTGGGAACTAGGTTATTTATACGAAGAATGTTTTAATTTGTTTTTTTACTATGAATTGGGTAATAGTATATGTTTATTATTTATTTATCTAATTATAGTATAGATTTCTTAATGCTTCATGTATGATATGAGCTCCCACCTTATATTTGGTGAATCTAAAAGTAAGATTTGTTTTATTTACTGAATATTTAGAAATATCTATAACTTGAAAAATGTTGTCATACCTGACTTTTATTTGATATGAAAAGAAAATAAAAAGAATAAAGTTTTTACTATTTAAAACAAGTCATGTTTGTATCTGTTTTTGTGAAGAAAGCAGAAGTAGCTATGTTCCAGCCAGGGATTTCATTGTTTATTGTTTTGATAATTTTAAAATGGGATTATTTCTTATGAAATGTAATATGTCAGAATTTTGATAAATTTTAATAAGCTGTTCAGCATTTTGAAAATACTGTGCATATATTAAAATTAATATAATTTGTAATAGAAAAGCAAAACGTTTCCATATTATGTTTTGGTCCAAAATTTTAAAAATTATAGTAAGTTATAATGATTCTCAGTGTTTGACATTTTTGTTGAAGTACTTAACATAGTGCCTTTCTCCAAATTTTTAAACTTCGAAAGATTTTTAGCTTTCCATAATTCCTGTTATCTTCATTGTGTATATATTGATTTTTCAAAAAAAGTTTTGTCATGAAACTATTTAAAAATTTGTGTCCATTCTGTGAATTACCTCAGTGCTTAACATGGGGAAAAGCATAAGAAGTTGGCATACATACTGAGTCAGATAGTAAATTGTATATGAAATAATTTTTTTAAATGAAAGTAAAAACTAAAAAGCTCCTTGAAATTTTTGTCTAGATTTGTTCACTGTTTTTGAAATTAATGTTTTTGGTGAAATATAGCGGTGGCATTGCCACCTGGTGGTAATAACCTTACTATTAAGCTGTGTAATTTTTAATATTAGTATCTAGTAAAAGGTTCACTGTGGACTTCTGTGTGAATCCTATGATTTTTTTTCCAGCTTGAGAGTCTGCTGTAGTTTACCAGTGTTTGTTCTTCTCTGAAACCTGTAAACTGGTAGGCTGTTTTGGATTGTTCCAAATTTCCTGCCAGTTACTGACTGCTGTTTTGTGTTCTAAGCACTCTGCTTGTATTATTCAATCTTCTAATTATGAATTAGGTGGAACTGTTGATACTTGTCTTGTATTCATTATTGCTGTAGATCTTGACCACAAATAAGAATTTAAACCCAGGTAGTATTTGACTCTAAAGCCTCTGCTTCTATTATCCATGCTAAGTTGACCTCTTACCTTTTCCCAGACCTTAGCCTTTACTCCCTCTTGGTATTGGAGATTGAACTCACAGGCTTGTACATGCTACTAAATGTTTTACCACTAACCTGTATCTCCAGCTTTACTTACTCACTTACTCATATATGTATGTTTGTATGTATGTATGAGACCCGGTCTTGCTAAGTTGCCTATGCTGGCCTTGAACTAGCAAGGTAGCCACAGGTGTGTACCATTGTACCCTGAGGTTGTGGGTGTATATCATTATACTGTGTTTGTGTTACCTTTCCTTTTTTTTTAATCAACCACCTAATGGAATTTGAAATTTGGATCATCTGTTTTCTGATTTCTAGTTAGGAGTGCTCAGAATCCTTTCTCGCTTCAACAATTTTAAGCCCAGTATTGGGAAAATAAATTAATGTAAACATTTTTCTCAAGTTAACAAGACAGTCTTGAAGAGAAAGTTGGATGTAGTACAGTACAGTGGACCCTTGACTTATGAACTTGATTGGTTCCCATGGGAGGGTTGTTTATAAGTCAGTACAGCTGAGATCTGGATATTTCCCTGTGTACACACTAAGAGTCAGATGAATCTTCCATTACCCTAATCAGCCCAAGTTGTTTGTATTTCAGGCTGGTTGTAACTTGAAGGTCCACTGTTCCAATAAGGGAGATTTGCTAGGCTAAAGATACTGAAAAGCACTGCTATTAAAAGCACATGAGTACAATTGTGGTTGGATCCAAAGATCAAGACCTCTAAAGGATTAAAAAAAAAGCCTCAAATGGGTCAATATGGGGAAAAGAATGGAGATTAAATTCCAGTAGAAGAGGGAGAGGTTAGAAGAGAAGAAAGAAAAAGTAAGGACAAAGCGGTCTGTAGTGAGGTGTACTTTTTAATAGTGTGCATTTTACATCTTACCCCAAGTTTACAGTTTTTGCTGCTTAATCCTAGATACACTCTGTAATTTCCAGCTTTCACCTTTTATCTATGTCATCCTAAGTCAGTACCAAGTTAAATGTGCTTGATCACTAGCAGATGACAATGAAGGCTGTTTGGATACTATCTGTTTCCAGAGTCATAAATCTTTAGTTCTTAGTTCCCATTCTGTCCATACGTCACCCAAGGTGTTGTTGGCTTTTGTCCATTAGAAGATTAATTATAGGTGCTTGTTCTCACACCAGTCTTCCCAGATGTTTTCTCATTGATATGTCTTGATACAATACTTTCAGAAAGCCAACTGTATAGCACAATGTTACTTACACTTTTAGTATCCAAGAATTTCATGAGACTGGATTTACTTGGAGTTGATATGATAAATTAGAGTTGCTTTTTTTTTTTTCTGAGAGAATTAAGCTTTGGTGGGAAGCTGGGGGAATGGTGTTGAGAGAAGTTGAATTCATGCTTAAATTCAGTCATTCAAAATTTCATTGAGCTTTACCATATGCCTAAGACTGTGCTGGATGTGGTGGGCTCAAGAAAATGTGAAAGACAGGGAAGAGAGATTCCTGTCTTTGAGAATCTTGAAATTAAGGGAGAAAAGTAATACATACTTGAAAGAAAGGGGCAAGGTACACTAAACCATCTACTTCTAAACTCACATGAAATAGCTGATGTAATGTCATATAAACTATGTAAAGAAACCAGATGTATTTTGTTTAGTCATTCCTCTCTTCATCTTTGCATTTTAAGCTTTTTTTTTCTTTTGCAGCTTTTCGATGGCTTAATCCATTTTTATTAGTAGTATGGGATCCCTTCATTTTGTCTTCAGAAGCCCAGATTTATATCATTAATTGGAAAGAGGATTTAAGTCTGAAAGATAAATTATAGTTGTCACTTTGTTTCCCATCCATTGCAAACCATCTATTAGCATCTTTCTAATTTCAGAACTACTTAGAAGAGTTGAAGGTTCAAATAATTATTTAACTAATTACCAAAATGAAGCCAAGCTACCTTGTTTTAAAGCAGCAAAATAGAAATGACTTTTTAATCAATATCATCTCTTGTTTTGGCTTTCCTGGTATATACAAGTGTCCTTGCCTCTGACCTTTCCCTCAGGCAGTAACAGTGGTTTCTTTTCTTTTCTTTCTTTTTTTTTTTTTTGTATTCTTATTGCTGCTTGATTATTTATTTATTTATTTAAACTCACTAGGTAGCCCAGGCTAGCCTTCAACTCCCAAGGATCCTCCTGCATTTGCATCACCACAGCAGGCCTTCTTGTTGCTACTTGGTATCACAATTTAGTTTCTTATGTTTCAACCTTTAACCTTTAAATATCACCATTCAAACTCTTAAGACCAACTACATTCCTTAGAAATGTATGCTTAATGTGTTTCCCCTATTTAAGACAGTGACAACTTTACATTTTTACCTAGTCTTATATACAGTCCTTGCAATTAGAATCTGGGGATGGAAAAACAAAGATTAGCAACTGTTTCGCTTCATTTGAAAATGTCTCTAGACCCCCAGAAAAATTCATATTACAAGATGATCTTTTTTGTGATCGTGTCTCACTGTATCAATTCTTTGCAGAGTAATGAATATGTTCTTAGCAATTTTATACTATATTTAAGAGATGTTCTAGGCTAGTGGTGGCAAACCTACAGCATACATATTGCAGCGAGCTGTTATCGAAAGCTCTAAAACATCTGCCATCACAATTCTAGGCTGTGTGTGGAATATATTGCTAACACTATTTGTATTCAGGAGTGTATTGGCAGAAATGTGGTGGAAGGATATGGAGGAGCAGAGTTGCTTAAATTATGGGGCCAAGAAGCAGAGTGGATTGGAGATGTGAGCCAGAGAGAAAGGGGCCAGGGACCAGAAGCAGACCTC